CTCAAGATGCTCAATTGAAAAGCATGCACAGGCACACATACACCCATTCTATTTAGAAGATGAGCAGTATCTGCCGTGATATGAATTTTCTTTCTTTTTGTTCTGTGAATGAGCTTTTTTTAATGACTTTCCTTGCCTGGAAACCAGAGCATATGATAACATTTCTCGTGTGTGTTAATTTTTTTCTTCTTCTTCTTCTTTTGTTTTGTACTGGGATTATAGATTAACAAGGCTCACAATAGATATATCAGAAGAGAAAATGGTGGTGGTGTTGACAGTTGTATTTTCATTCAGAAATAGTCACAAAAAGTCAAGTTGTAGATCGATCCTCCCCATGTGAGATGTTTGGGTTAGTTGTGCTAGTAAACATGCAGGTGAACGGTTATATACAGAGAGGCAGATTAACAAGCACTATCACATTAACTTCTCTTGCAATCTGACGATCCACGAAGGCGTTGTACGAAACAGCAGGAGTGTGTCACTTGGTACTCAACCCCAGAATCGTAAAAAAAAAAAAAAAAAAAGTGATTGCCCAGATGCAGATGGTCTGAGGAGGGAAAAGCATTATGATATTCCACCAGTATTCAGCTGAGATGCAGGGTGTTCAAGAAATCCCTTTTGCAACACATGCACGTCCTCACCTGCCACAAGAAGTATGATTTTATTAGTGCATTTTATGAACACATCATAAGTCTGTTTCATACTTGAAAGCAGTATATTATATATTTAATTGAAGCATTCTGTTTTAAAGATTGCAACGAGTCTTTTTGATAACGAGCTTTCCACATGTTTTCTATAAGGGAATCTACAGTGTGCTTCTCTCGGTTGTGGTGTGACCTGATGTGGTTTGGTTGCATTCAGTCCTAGCCGATTAAGTTGTGAGATTTTTTCACAGCACGCTCAAAAAATTTGTGTTTTTTATTTTTTGTTTTGGGTGAATGTACACGATCGGGCCAAGAGAGAGTATGTCTTTCTGCCTCAGGGGTCAGGTGAACGTCTTTATAACGTAGGGTAAAAAACAAAACAACAAAGGATTTCCCTCCTCAGAGCTTCTCGTCTGGCCGCACAAAAGGCCTCCCCATTGGGATTATCTTGTCATTTGTTCTCCTAACTTCTATGAAGTTGCCTTCCCTTGTCTTTTTTTGTTCAATTTTTGTTTTATTTTTCATGCTTTACGTTGTTACGATTTCGGGGGTGTGGCTTACCTAGTGAAGGCTTTATAGAGCTTAGCTGAATGCGTGTCATCTTCTCTATCATGGATTCCAAGCAAAACAAAGACTTATCATTTGTAGTCTTAGAACGGAGACTGTCGTAGCGTTTTTAGCTACGCAGTACATTTGAAATCATGTTTACAGCTGAGGAAACAAGTGTTAGTATCTGAGGGGTAACAAAACAAACATTCAAAACTACCTGTCCGCTGATAGCAGATTTGATAAGTTAGTCTATATCGCATTGAGTGTGTTTAAGCATCTTTATCGGTGAGTATTACAATATTCTGTTGACTGTCACATTTTCCTTCTCACAACTCGATGTCATCATCACCACCATTACCACTAAATTTTCCTCTTTCTCTGTCATGTTAATTGTTTACTGCTGACGCTCTACAACAGAGCTCTTTGCCTTTTGTAAACAATTAGCATGATTGGCGACAGTTTCAAAGCTCCGCTGAGAGCGAGTGAGTCCTTGTGTGCGAACGGTTGAGAGAAAGAGACGCTCTGGGTAAAGTCGTTAAACGTCGAGCCTTGGTTTCGGTCAGACGAGGGGCACTGAGACAGTTTCACAAATCCCTGATGACTGATGAGTCAAATAAATACAGACACAAATGTTTTGTGTCTCATCTGGGTTGTTTGATGAGCATCTCTTCCAATTTGTCAGCGCCATGATAGTGGATGTTTGGGTTTTTCCTTTCTTGGTTTTTTTTTTTTTTTTTTTTGGTTTTAATTTTTCCTACCACACTTCAAGCCTCTGGCTGCTCCTCGCTACATTTATTGTTTAGGTACACAGCTCACTTATACATATGAGTATGTATACATACATTAATATACTAAAGCACTATTAATGTGCCACCTCTTATTTTACTCGCTCAGCATTTATATTAAATGATCTCTACTTAGAATCAGCAAAATGTTTTTGTTTCTTTTCGTCGTTTGATTTGTTTTCTGTCCACTGGTTGCCAACACAGACTTTATCCTTTCCCAGACGAAGGACCTCTGTGCGCATTGATGTGTGTTCACTTAATCTTTTGTGTTCAAACAAAGATGTTCTTTATAGACTATGCTTCCGAAGAAGACAAAATTCTGTAACTTTGGAAAATTTATGGAGACGTTTTGTGTGTGCTAGATTGTATTGTAGAAAATGTACCCTAAGTTTTTTTTTTCCTCAAAGTGTGCTGTACTGGGTGATAGTTTGGAGGTATTACAAAAGTGTTGGGGTTTTTTTTCCCACCCCTGCCCCAAAGAGGATATTCAGGAAGTCTCTGATGATAGGTTGGCCTTAAATCCTCTTGCAGTGCTCCTTTACCATGTCTGCTTCTGGAGCATGAGGTGATCTCAAAAATACTAATTAAAACAGAATTGGCATGATTTAGAGTCACACAGATTGACTCTAGTAGACCCCCCCCCCCCCCCCCCCCCCCAACCATGTTTTGAAAGTGTCATGTAGAACAGCAACATGCAATAATGCAAATCTCTGATTTGAATCAAAAGTGTTTTATTTTTAAAGAAATGTTATTGACCTAGCTTGGTTTGTACTTCTTTTTTTCCATTCTTCTTTTTTTGTTTCTGCACTAGTTGAGTGAATTTACTGACCTGCAAGTCTTACAGTCTTTAATGCATCATCTGACCTGAGCTACGAGAGAATCTGAGTGACATTGTTCTTCTTTGATGAATATTTACAACAAATTGGCCCACCAGCGTAATTCTGCTGTTATAATGCCATCAATTGGCAACACATGGTGTTCATTCAATATGTTGTTTCTCACTATCTCTACGTGCAAGTCAACCAAAACTATCACCATGCTGATTCTACGTGATAGATCCCTGCAGGTCTGAATGAGCCTAAAACGCCTTTAGCTTAGCAGACATACTGACATACAATAACTTATGGGGTGGTTTACTATTAGTAAATAGCAGAGATGTTAATTTCAATCTCCTGTGTGTTTGTTTTCTGAGTGGAACTGCTGCCTCTACCCCTCATTTACATAACCAGTTAATCCCTCCACTCCCACCCTTGACCACTGAACTCTGTTACTGCTGTTTGAGGCTCACATTTTATTCCCTGACTTTCTGGGGAAATTCGCAAATGGCTATTTTATATGATTACTCCCTTGTAAAATATCTCTTAAATTAAGGTACAGGTTTGATTTCAGCAAGAAAAAAGAAGTTTTTATATGTATATTATACTCCATTAAGGAATGTCTAGAATTATCTTCCTCCAATGTGGATGTAGCCATTATTACGCCATTTTATGACTTTGTAAGAGAATTCACTGTGTGAAAATTGGTTTGCATTTTTGTATAATACAATCTGCTTTTTTTTTTCGTTTGATACGAGAGGGAGGTCAAACTGGAAGTTTGAAGAGAGAAAAAAATGAACCTGTGAAATTGAGAAAACAAAGTGTAACTTATGTACAACAGTGATTCTAAGCTGAGGGGAAAAGATTAAATGATATTGCTAACTCTGAGTATCTGTGTCGCTGTTTGTATTTCTAACATGTCTTTCTCCCCTTTCTGTAATGATGTAATTCCTGTTTAGGGTGTGGTCAGTACACCTTGACATCAGCGCTGGGTGTGGTCAAAGGTGCAACAGATTTAAACCTAAGATAAAATAACACCTAAGCAACAGTGTTTCAAGTTAATGAAAAACTGATGAAGTCAACCACATTTTTTTTATTGGTCAATGGTAACGATTTCAAATCATACTAAACATCGACAAACCTTGAAACTACCACAGAACTGAATTTATTGGCACCTCAGTAACCCACTTTGAGGTTGATAGCTCATGCTAGGCCTTGTGAACAGCAGTTGATTAAACAGTCTCAACTCAAGGGTGGCCTTACGCATTTTAAGGGCCTTAATATTTGTTAATTGATAATCAAAAGATTGGCGGTTCAATCCCCAACTCCTCCAGTCCGAATATTTAAGTATACCTACCTGGGCAAGTTACTGAACCCCAAATTGCTCCCGATGACTGTTCCATTTGTGTGTGCAAGCGTGTGAATGGTTACTGAGTAGCAGGTGGCACAATGTGTGGTAGCCTCAGCCACCAGTGTGTGTGTGTGTGAATGGGTGAATGTGACATGTAGTGTAAAAGAGCTTTGAGTGATCGGAAGTCTAGAAAAGAGCTATACAAGTGCAGTCCCTTTAAGTGACTGACTAATGGAGACTAATTTTTATTGTCAGTTTGAGTAAAGCCATCAAATTTGTGACTCAAGTCTGACTTGAGTCCACACCTCTGCATAATAGACCAGATCCAGAGCAACCTACAAGGTAAGAACTCACCTGCGGCCCAGGGCAGTATGGTTGGGGTCATACCAAGTCTGAGTGTGGATTTGACTTCTTGTTGCAAGTGGTATCTTTCTAAAAGACCATTAATGTATAATTATGTAATATGAGCTGTACCTATATATGTTTCCTTTCTTATTTCGTTTATTTTACAGAAATATTTTAACCATTTGCTTTTTTTACACAGCTTGCAGGTAAGTCAGAGACTGAAAATCATCATCAACATGTTGTCTGATGTGAGTCAAACTGGACTTTGAATCATCAGAAAAAAGTGGAGAGAAACTGAAATCCTGCTGTTCCTCAGTGAAACTGTGAGGTGCCAGGATTAGTGATACTGGGTGGGGGTCAAACCAGTACCTAAGATAATACCTGCACATCAGCCTTTTGAGTCAATGAATGGATATGTTTAAAGTGCCCTGCCCACTCAGCCTCATCTAATGCAGGTCCTTTGTTAAAGCCTGTAAATCCAGGAGTTAGGAAATCCTAAAAATCCTTCACATTCTCAGTGTGACAGCTTTATTTCAACAGAGGCAAATTTTCAGTATTTAGAATGAGAATCATTTTTTTATATAACCTATGATTGTAACATGCAGTCATTCTTGCATTATTAAACAAAAATAAGTAGATATTAATATAAAGTACAGTACTGTTGAATTTCTTGGTCCTTCTGAGTTCACGTGCCTGTTTGTTCATCTTTTCCAGAAGAGGTAGCTGAGATGAATGAACTTCACATCGTAGTAGAGTCTCCCTACAGGCAAAGTGTGACGCACTACTAATGAACAAAGCGTTAATTAAAATCTTATTACAATCACAAGATCATATCTTCAGTCATCTATTACTGACCAAATGTCCACGATAAACACTGACTCCTCTCACATATTTTTACTCCACGTTTGTTGGATCCCAAGTCACGTGTCTTCCATCGTGCAAGCTTCCCAAAGCGGCCATGTCTGACTCCTCCAGCTGGAACCCAAACACCTTCGTATGTGTGTGAAAGAGGAGAGGAAGAGGAGGAAACAGGTGAAATGAGATCATGAATGACTGTGGCATTAGAGATGATTCGAACTATGGCAGTGCAAAATGGCAGACTCTGTGGATGAGGACCTGCTCCCTATGCAGACATAAAAGGCTCATTTTAAGGTAATGAGAACATGACAATTCTTGTTTTCAGCTGATTATATACTAAAAAAACATGTATTTCACTATATTGCATTTCTGCAAATATATCCCCCTAAAACCTACACACTGGACCTTTAATTTTGTGATAACCTTTTACTGTGTTTCATACCTGCTTGATTGGTCAATCGCAATATCATTAATCTTTCTTAATTTATTATTAAACACATTTTTATGATCAAGCAAACGACTGTCAAATGCATTTCCAACTCACCTGACAGTTTTCCTGAATCCTCTTCTTTGTGATTGATTTCGGTATTGTGACAACTCCATTCTAAGGAACAGAAGAGAAACTAAAGCATTATGGGTAAAAAGAAATGTGCGTTAAAGCAGGAAATATCTGAAGAATGATGTGCCAACCTGAATGCTCCAGCGGATGCAGATCTGAGCAGGTGTGCGTCCATATTTTTCTGATAACTGTAGAACGGTTGGGTTGCTGAGGGCTTGACCCTTGGCCAGAGGACTGTAGCCTTCAAACACAATTCCCTCCTGACGACAGTATTTTATCAGCTGATTGGGCTGCTGGAAAGGATGGTACTCCACCTGGTATGTCATTTTAAAGATACATTATAGGCAAGGTACTGTGTGCAGACACTTTATTTGTATGCTCCAGCATTCATGTTTTTGAGGCTTCTCAGACAGAAATACGTCAGCTACATGCATGTCTCAGCATTTTAGGACTTTTTAGAAACTGATTTAAGATAATGTAATACCAATTAAGATCTTATTTATAGATTAATTAATTTAATGCCTTTTAAGATTTTTTAAGTCTAACACTTCTGAAAACAAAAACTTACCTGGTTAACATGTGGCACAACACTGCAGTCTTCCTTTAACTCTTCCAGGTGGCGAACCAGGAAGTTGCTCACTCCAATAGCAGAGCACACCCCTGTAGTGACAAACAGAGAGAGCTCAATGGCATGTCCACTCTGTGACAGTATATATCATGATCATCATATCTTTGCAACATCGACATCATATCTTTGCAACATGATCTTTCATGTTGTGTACCTTCTTTATAGAGTTCCTCCAAAGCTCTCCAGGTCTCAGCTCTCACCTCCCTGTTGGAGCAACCAGGTCGCAATGACTCTGGCCAGTGCATCAGATACAGATCTGTAAAAAAGGGAGAGGTGATGAATTCACGCAAGACTACAAACTGCATACAATGTTGGGGAATGCAGAATGCCAAAATAATGGAGAAGCAAAGATCAATCATATTAGAGAGAGTTTGTACATCCCTAGGTAGTACTGCATTGATAACACAGATATCTGTTTAACATGTCTTCATCAATCACAACCCATACCGAAATATTCCACCCCCATCTGTGAACAGGAGTTCCGGCAAGCCTTCTTTGCAGCTTTGTATCCATAGTCCCCTGGCCACAGTTTATTGGTGACCCACAGATCACTTCGTGGTATCCCGCTTTCTCTTATCGCGTAACCCAGCTTCTCCTCACAGCCGTAGCGCTTTGCTGTGTCGATGTGGTGCACGCCACACTCAGTGAGTGCATACACAACGGCATCATGAGAGTATCCGCCATGATGGGATGTGCCTGGTGTAGAGAGAAAATACAGACAGTTAAAAAGCATCTATTCAAAGGTGATGTGTGTGTCATTTGGTCTGGATAAGTGTGATAAGAAGACAATCAGGACCGAGAGGTTTGAACTACCAGAGGGCAGCATTGCAGATGTTCAGGACAGCTACATATACCTTGGGGTCCCGCAAGCAAATGGGAACAATGAGGAGGCCGCAAGGAAGTCAGTCACAGCCAAATACCCACACATAGCAAGGCAGGTCCTGAAAAGTCGGCTGAACAGAAAGAACAAGGTCTAAGCCATCAACACGTACGCCCTGCCAGTCATCAGATAACCTGCTGGTATAATAAGCTGCCCACAGAAGGATCAAGACAAGGAAACTTCTCACAATGCATGGAAGTCCCAAGTCCAGCACCCTGAGACAGACTGTACACTAAGCAGATCAAGGGGGGCAGAGGACTGCTGAGCGTCAGAGCCGCTGTCCAGGATGACACAACTAAGGTCCAGGAATACATCAGGAAGATGGCCCCAAAGATGAGCTACTAAGTGAATATCTCATGGAAGGACAAGCCCCTGCACGGCATGTACCACTGACAGATTGAAGAAGTAGCCGACATCAAGAAATCCTTGCAGTGGCTTGACTGACAGACAGAAGCACTAATCATGGCGTCGCAGGAACAGGCACTAAGTACAAGATCAATAGAAGCAGGGGTCTACCACAGCAGACAGGACCCCAGGTGCAGGCTGTGCAAAGATGCTCCTGAGACAGTTCAGCACATAATAGCAGGGTGTAAGATGCAGGCAGGAACAGTGTTCATGGGACAGCATAACCAAGTGGCTGGCATAGTGTAGAGGAACATCTGCATTGAGTATGGGCTGGAAGTCCCAAGGTCAGAATGGAGGACACCTCCTGAGGTGGTTAAGATCCTGTGGGACTTCCAGATCCAGACAAACTGGTGATGGCTAACCAACCGGACATCATGTTAATGGACAAACAACACAAGAAGGCAGTGGTGATAGATCAAACAATCCCGAGCGACAGCAACATCAAGAAGAAGGAACAGAAGAAGCTGGAAAAATACCAAGGGCTGAAAGAGGAGCGAGAAAAGATGTGGGACGTGAAGGCAACAGTGGTGCCAGTGGTAATCAAAGCACTAGGGGCTGTGACCCCCAAACTGGGAGAGTGGCTCCAGTGGATTCCAGGTAAACATCCAGAAGAGTGCGGTCCTAGGAACAGCTAAGATAAATAAGAAAGAAAGGTAAGGACTGAGCTTTTAATACCAAACTGCCACAGCTGATTTAACATTTTTCAAATCACTTGCAAAATGTACAATATATTATTATAATCATATTATTCATGCTTTCCATCAGGGTTTTGTCCTCCACAATGACCCATTAGAAGAAATAATTTGATGTAATGAATAAATAAATAAATAAAAACAGTGACATATCATTCAGTATTTGTGCACTTTTCATGAGACGCACCTAATCCCAATATTGGAATCTGCAGACCATTGGACAGTGGGACTGTAGGACAGCTCAGCTTCACCGGTGCAAAGGTCATGTTCCTCTTGAGCAACCTGGATCACAAAAACGTGTTATCACTATCGAAGGAATCGAGGGAAAGTCTATGTCCCTGCGTGTTATTGAAAAACAGCTGCACATGTTTACCTTGCGAATAGCTGCCTAACGTTACTTTGTGATAAAAATACATACCTGTTACAAATTATTCCGGTGCTGCAACACTAAGGACGCGTAGCTGGGGTTTCCTCGTGAGCAATTACATCAGATTTTATGAAGTTTTACTGCCGAAGTTTTGTTTGTGCCTCTTCCCAACGGCGTTAGCATCTCTGGAGTGGGTGGAGATGTGCCTCCAACGGAAAACCACACGACGCGACATTGAAGCCTATGGCTAACCAGTTAGCTTACCCCAACAAAGATGGCGTCTGTTTCCAAACGGTACGAAATATGTGGTAAAAACTGACGCACGACACCATATCGTAGAAAATGTGTACATAAAAGTTAAATTAATCGCATTTTCAAGCAGTTGCCAACTTGCAGCTTTTCTTACAATACAAACGTTTATTTATTTATTTTTGAGCTGTAACCGTTAGTCAGGCTACGTAGCTAATGTTACAGCTCTTTCATTTTAAGGCTCTTTGGTAACAGTCAACATGGCGACCACGTAAAGCAAACGGACTGTGAGCAGTGTCAACAAAATGAGGTGAGTTTTGACTTATAGACAGAAATACAACATTTTCTCTAATGCGTTTAATGCAACTAAATAGCTCTATCATGTGGCCGTTGGTTAAACTCAAGGTGTGGCGTTATGCTGACCTACAGAAATAATACTTGCTTGAGATGTCTGGATGTTGAACATGAAGTGGTTTCATATACAATGAGGCATTTGTGTTCAGCTAATATCTAATTTGATGTGCTTGCATGACAAATGCAGTATGTGCAGTGGTGTAGGCAGGGATCAGGGTCCCCGTAAAGGACATTTAATCTGGGATTCAATTAAAGAAATTAAACCTACTGATTTTTTTGGGGCTGTCTCCAGATGTTGACCCCCTTTAATCAGCAACAGCTTTCACCTCAGTGTGGTAACACATCTAATCACTTTCTGATGGACCCCAGTGTGTCCACTTAAAGTGTTTACACCAAAAGAAATCACAGTTATGTGTAAAGCCATGCTTCCCTGTTTCATAGCATGTGTCTAATCCACCCTAAGGGACTGTTCTTTACTTAACAGTGGAGGGGTGTGGCTGGGGTGTGACTTCATGCTTTATTTGTTTGTATTTTTTCTTGACCCTTCCCAAAGCTATTTATATTTTTTCATGAGCCTCCCTGAGTGACTGGGGGGAAATGCATGACCCTCCCACCACCATAAATAACCATATTTCTTATTTTAAGCCAGTACAACAAGCACACAGCACAGGAGTGAGAGTTATCACCAAAATAAACTGCTAATTTCTTAAGCAAAATGCAAATCTCCCTTACATATCGCTATATCATCACACAAGTTGTGCACTTCAGCAGAATATGGGCGCATATCAGCGACCTGTCCTAGCACACAAAACCAGCAAAACTTAAAAAGACTACACAAATCTACTGCATTTATAATTATCTATTTGGTGCAATAATGTAACTGCTGCAATCAACTGTGCAATATTTTTCAGGATACGACTTCATCATGCAGATAATTTCTTATGTTTACTCTTATTCTATTCTTTTTTTATTCTACTGAGGTATATTGTACTTAAATTTCACACTTACAGCCTCAGCACTGTGACAATATATATTTTATTTTCAGTATCTTAAGTGTTAAACACTGTAGCATGATGCACATTCTAATTTTCATTTTCATTGCTTTATATTTACATATTTCTGTTACATACTCTCACTCTTACTTATTATAATTCTCTATTCTTTACATCAGAGCGACTGTAACAAATCACAATTTCCCCTCGGGGAGCCACTTGGCATGGTCAACGTTATTAGATTTTAAAAACCTTCCCTTTGATGTTTAAAAGTTAAAGGTTTGAAGTTGAAAACAAAATCCTGGCATTGAAAAAAGGCTTGGTTTTTCGCTGTTATCATGCATGCAGGTGTGCAGAACTTGTTTTGTACAGGATCTGGTTATGTCGTGCAAACAGTGTATTTTTGGCATGATGTCCCTTCCCCCTGCTTCATGAATTACGAACAGTCCCTACGGAAATCTATTTTAAATATTGGTGTTCTGGGATATCCTAATGGGGAGTCACAAAACCTGGAGTATATCCTAATAGGATGTCCTGCCTCTGTGGTTCAGGGTCCCCAGATGTGGCATGGGCCTCAGACGAGCCTATTTGGTGTGGCCAATCCTGCTGCTGCTCCTGGTTGGTGCAGCTTTGACCACTCTGCTGCCCCCTGCTGACGACCAAAGAGGTGTCGGAGTCCTGGGGGTGCTACGCAGGGCAGCATCACAAAAGGAGAATCCTGCGCAGGTCCACCGTGACGACAACACAGTGGAGGAGCAGAGGTTCACTGTCATCATCCAGACTTACAACCGCACAGACATTTTGCTCAAACTCTTAAACCATTACCAGGGAGTGCCTCATCTTCAGCAGATTATCATAGTGTGGAACAACATTAGGGAGCAGACACCCCTGAAGTTATGGAACTCTTTGGGGCCTCATCCGGTGCCTGTGGTCTTCAAGGAGCAGGCGAGCAATCTAATGCGCAACAGACTGCAGCCATTCCCTGAGATTGATACTGATGGTGAGTATATCTGTCAGCTTGCATATTGTATATGCTTTGACTTAGTGCTTTTAAAAATGTATATTTAAACCTATGTGTTTTGTCTGTTTAAAAAAAAAAGTATTGTAGTTTGATTTGTGCTTTGATCCGTAGCTGTGCTGATGCTGGATGATGACACCCTGGTCAGCGTGCCTGACATCAGTTTTGCTTTCTCTGTCTGGAAGGTAATACAATGACAGTGATTAACATATTGTGTCTAAATTACATTCGGGTTTAACTTGATAATTGATTATGTCAATAAAAAAACATATCAGCATCATGTGGTACAGCACCATCCAAGACAGCATAAGTTGTTCTGTTCTGTTTTGCAGCAATTTCCAGATCAGATTGTCGGGTTCGTCCCAAGGAAACACGTCTCAACACCAGGAGGAGTGTACAGTTACGGCAGCTTTGAACTGCAGGACCCAGAAACAGCAGGAGGTGACAAGTAAGTTGAGCTTTGTCATAATTTTGTAAATCTCCACATCAAATGTATCACACATGCTGCTTGTCTGTCTTGGTTTTACTTTGATGTGAAGGGCTGTTTTTTAATACTTCTATCTTGATCCACTCACTGCAGATACTCCATGGTTTTAATTGGCGCTGCCTTCTTCCACCGCCGCTACCTGCAGCTCTTCCAGGACCAACCTCAAGCTGTGCACGCGCTGGTGGATGAAACACAGAATTGTGACGACATTGCTACGAACTTTGCCGTAGCACTATATTTAAGGAAACACTCCACAGGCAGTATTAACAAACCCTCTGGGGTCTTTGTCAAACCTGTGGACATGCGCAACCTGGAAAAGGACGCCAGTAGTGGGTACCAGGGTATGTGGCATCGTCCTGAACACCTCCTTCAGAGATCCTACTGTCTCAACAGGCTGACACAGATTTATGGTCTCATGCCGCTTTGCTTCTCCAACCTGATGGTCTCCCAGTTTGGCTTCCCCAGCTATGCTAACCACAAGAGTAGAGGCTGAGGTGCTGCCACAGTGCTGACTGTTTTGGACTGAAAGATGACAGACTCAAGTGACAGCCTGGTAAGTCTGTGTTTGATGGATAACACATCACTTGTGTGGGCTCAGGATTAGATTGACACTAAAGCTCAATTTCACAGACACATTTTTTTGTTTGCTTTAAGTTTACTTGCTTAGTGTTTTCCTCTTTTCATCTCTGTTTTTCAGTTTGACCGTGGCATCTGCACGACTATCATGGACTTTTCTGGACAATCAGACTGCTCTACACAAGGCCCAGTTTCATGAAATGTCCATATTTGATAAGGTAATCTGTATTTGTTACCAAAGCTGCCTTTCTGTCAGTATGAACTCTCAATGGATTGTAGTGCTGTTGTTTTATAGCCAGCAGGTGTCAGTCTTTGACATTTTGCCTTGTTTGTAACTGTGATGTTGTGCCTCTTAAATTTTGGTTGTGTATAGAACGTGTCATTTCTCTGGTGGGCTTGTGTACAGTCCCTACAACCTTAAAATAACTGTTGGAAGTTGGCCAAAAAAGGAGTCCCCACCAAAGTGCGAATAAAGCAGAATTATTGCAGGTATTATTACATTCTAACATAAGCTTTATGTTCAGTACTATGCATGCGCAGACAATCTTTTTTTTATTTAACAATGTGTGTACAGGTGTCAAGCTTGTAAGACTGTATCATGTGATTCAGTTAAATAAAGCCAACACCTTTTCTCTGAACAATCTGTGGATGAATTCATAATTACGTTATCTGTTAAAGAAGTATTTCACTGCTGGAAACATGGCCTTTTCATAAAACTGGGCTACTATGCTGTAGGAAGACGAAGATGCTATTGAAATCGGTGCTATATAACCAGAGAAAACAGAGAACATGGGCTGTGGTGTTCGCTTTTGCTCAAGAGGTAAACAACTACCACTACCAGAATGCACTGCGCTGTACCAGACCAATAAACAATCCAGCTGGTGGGTGACGTAATTCGAGTTGCTGTCTTTCTATCTTTCTATTAGGAATTTTTGATCCATTGAGGGGTTACATTTGTATAACTTTCCTGGAGCTAAGAAAAGCAATTTTAAAAATCCATGATGTCACAATGAAGAGTCAATGAGCCAAGCAGCAACTTGCAGGCAGAAACACAACTGCACATAGTCAGTGGGCCACATGTTGGTATGAGTAATCGCCATCATGGGATCTGGTATCTAGGTGTTATAATACATCTGGGTTGATCAGGACTGTTTCCACACAGTATGGCCCTTAGAGCAGGCGCACTAAAGCAGTGGTTCCCAACTGGTCCAGCCACAGGGTCCAGATTGCTCCTTAGTCATTAGTTCAAGGTCCACATAGTTTAATACATTCAGTGTCATACTTGCATTTGGCCATGTTGTTGAGCTAGTTTGCTGTCTCTGTTAAGTAGTCACTCACTCTATAGCAGGAAATGGCACTTCAAAATAAAACTTCTGTGCTGGAAATTCACTGTACATCAAAATAAAGTGTGTTCTTTTTTACAAACTTGACACATTCACAAGTGACTTGCAGACCATTCAGAATGGACCCATGACCCACCAGTTGAGAACCACTGCACTAGAGACTCAATTGTGCGGCGCTTCTAGACTTTGTCTAATATTATCGAACCAAACTGATCATATTCTGATAGCGAAATGAGTCATTGCACCTAGGCTGTCTTTCTTGGGCCACAGGGCATCACATGATGGCTGTAATTCCACTGTTTGGCCACTACAAAAATTGCCTTCGACCCCCAACACACTTCCTGGTTTTGCTGGCGTTCAGAAACGACAAAGTACAATCTAGTTTGAGCAACAGCCCAAGAGCCAGTTAATATCTGCTGGATGACTCATTTCACTGGCAAGTGGTGAGATCTGGGCTCTGACAAGATGGAGGGAAGTTTGACGTAACTTGTAACAGTCACATTGTTATGATACAAAGCAGGTTGAAAATCTTCAAAGTCTCCCTTTAATAAGAGTTAAGTCCAGAAACAGGTGAACAGATGTGCAGATCCTGAGATGTACTGAATGATTGAAGAATCAAATGATGGTGCCAAATCCATGAGCGGGTGGTGCAAGTGCCGTCTTTAGTTTTCAGGGCTTCCCAGCAGAGTTACAGACATACTGATGCTTCTTATATCTGACATAAACAGTGTCACCAGTGTGTAGAAGAAGGTTGACGAAACTCATGAGGTAAGTTCTTGTTTCAATACAGACATATCCACTTCTCACTGAACAAAAATATAAATGCATAAATAACTGATTGTTAAAACTCCAGTTTTAATAGCAACAAAAGTAGATCCCACAGTTACATAAAGTTCAGCAATATATCCAATCTCTGCCCAGTCTTCCACAGTTGCTTTCAATAATATGAACAGGAATAAGCCAACATGACGGCTGAAGACGAAACATCTTCAGATTAATAAGAGGTAGGAGAGCGATATTTCATTGTGTAGCTTGTAGGAGTTACTTGTAGGGCAGCAGATCTCATCAGTCTTCACAGTAAACATCTGGATCACAACACCAGGTGTGAGGTCTGACTGGTTTTTCAAAATTCAGGTCTACATACCATTAAATCAACTTATGCTCAATACTAACCCTGAATGAAAAACTATATTTATTAATAAACAATAAAACCCGCCCCACTCGTCCTTGCATATTCTGGGGTAACTTTGGACTCCAATTCTTTCAAGAGTGGTCTGAGAGACTTTAATGTGTCTTAATGAGTCTTAATGTGGTCCAGGTCCACCATTGCCACCACTGACCCCAGGGCCACCTCCTGGCTTGGATCCACCTGGTCCACCTGGCGAACGCATGTCATGCCACATCTTCACAAGAGGCTCCCTCTTCCTCCAAATCAGTTTGTGACCATATGCTACATACCATCTGTAGGACAAGATACACAGAGATGGTTAAAGTGTACTGACTGCAGGACAGGATGATGCCAAACCACAAAATAATCCACTACAACATTCTTTAAAAAGATTTACACCACTATGAGTAGCATAAGCTGAAGTTCCAGCTACAATAATAAGTGTAAAATCATCCAGTAGTCTTATCACAGTGAATAGTTTTTGTTACAATGATTGTTTCATAACTGTGAGCGTCTTCATCAGCTGTTACGACCTAATTGTACTCTTGGTTTGCCTGATGACCACTGAGCCATTAACTGTGCATCTGCTGATGAAGACGGTAAGATGTGTTTGAAAGATTCTGAAAAAGCCAGTAGTGGACTCTGTGTTAATATTATTTTGTCAAACTAAAAGCACACTATTGAGAAAAAAAATCGAACTGCAAAGTTCACCTTGTAGCAGTTCTGGACCTTTTGATCGAATTTCAAGACTAACAGGAGTTTCCAAAAGTTGTAATTAATTTTAGATCTTCAAATTTCCTTTCTTTCTGAGCAATTAAAAGACTTCAAACCTCAGCTTTTAACTCCACCTGCTGATGAAAATCATGTGATCGAAAGCTCCAGAACAGCTAATAAATGAACCTTGTGATGAGATTGTTTTCTCACCTGCTTGGGAAACACATTTTCACCATTCTCTGACATTTTATAGACCCAACAACTAATCCATTAATCAAGAAAATAGTCAATAGATTATTTGATATTACAAATAATTGTTACTTGCAGCCCTACTGAACCTCAGCTACAAGGAGATTAAACTTTTTCACAGCATTTCTTACAATTTGGGCTGATTGCCAAACTTTCTACCACATTAACTGCATCTGATTAGAGGTGTAAGAAAATATCAATACACTTGAGTATCCCAGTTTATGTTTTGTGATACTGTATCTTTTCTAAAAGACACTGCTTTGATTTTTCATTGTTTACAATTTTTTTTTTTTACTGATATAGGTAAATGTAACTTCTTCAAAAAGTAGTGCTGTGATGTTAGATGTTACACGGACTGTGACAAATCCAAATGCAGATCCCACTGTTCTGATTGCATATTAAGTTAACTGTTAATGCATATAGTGGTGTGTTGTCTATACTATGACATTTTTCCTAAAGTTAATTTTTTTTTAAATCGCAATATATCACCTTGCCTGCAGTACGGCAATATACTTAATTGTCTCCCCTGTATTGTGAGAGGTAATCATATCGTCAAATTCTTGCAAATACACAGCCCTGCATCTGATGTATTTTGAGGATAAAAGTAAGACTTGAGAACATTCTTCTCCAGTTTAACCCTTTAAAACCTGGAGTGACATCAGTTTTCTTGTGCTGCATTCAGACGCCTTTCACAAGCATTTAAACCTTTGAAGCATGAGCAAACTGATTTGGATTCTTTTGAAAGAATGCTGAAAGGCAATGAGCAACTTGGCGAGAAATGTCCTGAAAATTGCAAAAAAAACAGTAAAACATGACAAGAAATAACCTGAGAAAGAAAAGAAAGAGAGGGGGGAAATTATTTGAAAATTAAAAATAAAAATAGGAAAAAATACCCCCCAAAAATGTATTTATAACTGTTATAATTGTATTTTTAAAATTCATTACAGAAAATAATTTATTACAAAGATCATTTGTTATTTCTTGTTAAGTTGCTCATTGCCTTTGTCTTGCGTTCTTTAAAGGAATCAGGTCAATTTGCTCAGCTCTTAAAGGGTTAAAACACTTGTATGTGTGTATTATTGGCTGTCGCCCATCATTTATACATTATCCATAGAGTTTCTGCATCTTCGTTGTTTACGAAAGCCATAAATACACTCAATTATTCTTTTTAATGTAAAGGAACATTGGCCACTCACACTCCAAAGAGAGCTCCTCCAAGGTGAGCCGCATGGTCAAACAGCCGCCATCCCAGTATGAGTCCTGCTGTATCTACGGCAACGAGCGCTTTCAGAGCCTAAAGGCAGACCAATGACAGGAACCTGACGTTACACACAATGTGCTGCACTAAACACTAAACCAACAACAACTTTCTCACTACCATGCATTCAGACATGCATACTTACACATTCACTCAAACACTTTGTCGGTTTCGCTCATGCACAGATTTACATCTCTTTCCTGCAGCGAAAACACAACACGACAATGTCATAACTTGTGACATGTATGAATTACCAAACTATTTAATTCACCTTACACTTTAGAGGTGTGTTTCTACATAACAAGGCAGGAAGTGCACACAAACACACACACACTTTGATGTATATACTGTGCATCACTTACAGTTCCTGCTGTGAAGGTGATCATGGGGAGGAAGATTATGCCAAGTTTGGCCTCTGGCACCTTCGCACAGACTGCGGCCAGCACCGCCATGACGGCACCTGACTGTGGATCAAACACAGACAGGTGGGAACATTAGGACTACTGCACTTCTGTCATTAAGCTGTATGAAGATTGTAGCAAATATCTTACCGCTCCTAATGATGGATGAAGTCGCCCAGTGGCAGTTTTACACATGTAGCTGACCATAGTGGAAATCACACCTGAAAATACACATAAGGACTGAGATATCACTCTTGAACGTAGTCACTGAAAGCTGAACCTAATCAGATTCTTTGACTCACCAGCAGACAGATAGACTGCAAGAAACTGCTCCCTCCCCAAGAGAGAGACGATTCCTGATGAGAATGTCCACAGGACATACATGTTCGCCACCATGTGGATAATGGAGTAGTGGCTGAAGGAGGACAGAACCATGGGAAGGCACCGTGTTTCTGGTGGGGGACAGAAAAATGGAGAATTTGATCATATGTCGAGTGGATCCAGCTGCAAATTTACACATGGAGGAAAATCATTGGGTCTCATTCATGAAATTATTATTTATTTAAAGAACATGCACACTCACTGGAGGCTGGGTTGGACGTAAAGTACTTAATCATGCTTCTCTGCATTGAGGGGATCCGCCAGCAGCACAGGACGACAGCATTCACTGCGATGATGCCTGGAAAACAGTAATAAGGAAGTGTGTGAAGCCATCTGAAGAAACACAGCGACAAAATGAGCATGGGTCTGCAGAATAAGTTACCGGTGACAGTCCTTTGTCCCTCTGTGAGGCTGCTCCAGAAGTCATCCACCGTGGACATGAGGAGGATGACCTGTCGCTGGAAGCTTGACAGCTGGTTCCACCAGTCATGCCAGTACGCCATGTCTTTAGACCCCTGGGAACATATGAATGGTTCACTGGATCACTGTAACAATGGTTTTATGTTGACAGCAAGGGAGGAGACAGCCAGCTGTAAAACCTCACCTGTAACAGCTTTTCCGACTCCTCTTCATCTCTTGCAGTTTGAACTCGTGACTTCAGGCTCTCATACTGCAGAATGGCTGCGGCGCCAAAGGAGCAGCCTGTAAACTGACATGGAGTCAGACAACAACCAACGGCACCATACTGTCCCAAACCTCAGCGCTGCATGCATTGTTCTCATTGTAGCAGATAAATTAAAGGGACCTACCCCCACTGTGAACATCAGCGGTTTGAAAAGTGTTGGCCTGGGGGCTTTGGGAGGAGGTCGAGGTGGGGGTGGAGGTGGGGGACCTGGTGTGCCAGCCTCAGAGGGTGAGGCTTTTGTTTCTTGGGTGACATTTCCTTTCTTTGTGTCTGACCTTTTGGCTTCCCGACGGAAACCGCACCTCTGTTGGTTGTGGGGGTTGAGTCTGCCAAAAAATGAGTAGACACAGTATTAAAACCTAATTTACAGATAGCTTATAGAATAACATGGACACCCGTGTGAAGTGAGGCAAAGCAATACAACAGCCCTGCAGTGAAAAGGCTTAGAATGTATGATTTAACTCTTTGTAGGGCTGAAACTAAATATTATTTTCATTATTACACCCAGACCAGGGTTTGTTGGCACACTTTTCATTCTGCCGTATTTCCAGCTCACAATTTATGTTAGAGCATTATAACCAGCAGCAAATAAAAACTTAAGATCTCAGCTATAAATAAATGTGTTTTAGTGTACACAAATGTTTTCAAACAGTAGATTATTTGTGATTACAGTCATGTTGTGCATTGTGCCAATCAGCCCCAACACAGGGAGGGTTGGCACAATGTTAAAATGCTGTAGTTACAACAAAATGAAGCAACCAAGAGAAAAAATGTGAACATTTAATTCAAACAAGAGCCAGAACACATGAATTTAATTGAACATCTGCCCTTTTTTATCTATTTATCATTAAAGATGCCGAATTACTTTCATCCATCGACCTTTCATAACAATTATATAAAAAAATAAGAATAAATAGATTGTTTTGTGTGTTAATCTCATAAAATACAGTTACAACTTTTACTTTTACAGCTGGTCTGCACATGTGCCAAACAACTCCGCTCACATTTGACCCAACTTATTCATGAAACTGTTTTAGTCAGCGACAATAACTCATCACAGACTTTAAAATCTTATATCAAAATATAGCTGATGACTATGACTTTTAACTAGAACCTATACTTTTCCACTATCACTATCTTAGTATTTATAATAGGATATCTTTAGTCCACAGACCACTTTTTTGGTTTCAGTGCTATTAAACTGAAATGTCACCCTCACCAATTAAGTTGTGACTCACATATGTTATTACATAACCTAGTAGATAAGTGCAGGTGAAGAAAGCAAACATTTTATGTTACATTTTTGTGTCTGTGACCTTCATAAGACCACAAAATAGCTGTGTGCCAACCAACCCTGGTGTATGAAAAAATAGTGACAAATGCTTGTGTGATCTGTCACAGTTACCTACAGCCTATGCTGATGTCTTCAAATGCCTGTTTTGTCTGAGTTAAAGTCTAAAACTCAAACTTATGTAGTTTACAATCACATAAGACAAAGAAAAGCATCAATACTTCTTAAATAAGAAGCTGAAATATGTTAATATTAGGCATTTTTTTGCAATTAAAAATGGCACCATTAACCAATTGCTCATCAAAATAGTATTTGTATTATCATTGTATAATGTTACTGTTAAAGGAAATTAGGAGCCATGACCTCACCTTACACTGACTATTCCTACTGGTCAAAACCAGAACTAGTTATGCATTAGGTGTTACATTTAAAGGGTAAACATTATGCAGTAGGAAAACAGGACATTCATTTTGCTGCATGAACAGTTTCAGCTTATTAAACACCATCACAGACAGATAACACACTGCTGGTCTGTGTAGTTTCACTGTAACCAAATTAAATCCAGTTATCTCCAGCCCCGTCAGTCTGTGTACAATGACAGTGGGAACAGTTAGGTAATCTGCCGCTCGAGACACAAACGCACCACACACATACACCACACACACACTCCTGCCAGTGTCATTTTATTTAAACAAACCCTGTGACCCGAGCAGCTTCAGCTCGACTCACCTGCAGCTCCGTAAAGTAGTGTTTGTACATCTGGTGAACTCTGTTTTGGCCCATTTCGTTACACATCCTCTCCACGCCATGTTTGTGATGACCTCCTGCCTGAAGCCCCTCCCACTGAGAGCTAATGCTGCGTTCATGGACTCGCCTAAAAGCTCCGACTTCTGACCACCACTCAAGCGCTCTTTGTGTAACAAACAGTAATACTGTTTTTGGGAGCAGTGGAGGGAGGTCGTTTATATTTTATTATGTGCAAATAAAAAATATGCTGTTATCAGTGTATTTGGTTGGTGCAGCTACATTGCCATCAGTGCTGGGAAGGTCTCTTTTGAAATGTGTTTGGCTTCAGATCACTAGTTACCATGTTAAAAATGCAATAAGTAGTCTGATGTAACTATTTTAATTACTTCATCAGAGTACATGTGCTTATTTTTTAATTACTGATTCTGACTTTTTTTTTTTGTCACAGTATTCCTGCATATTTACAGATAGTGCAAGGGTGCAAAGAAAGCTAAGAAAACATTGTAAGGGTTAAGTTGGACAAAAAGTTACAGAAGATGTAGAAAGTTGTTTATGTACAGTATATGCATACCTTTACAAGCAGTATGTATGCTTAGACATGACAATATATCATATAGATATACTGTAAAACTACCGGTGTGGCCACACATTTTGACAAATAAACACCTGGTTTGGTTGCCAGGCAGTTCTTTTTTAAAGAAGCTCTTCAGACGTATAAAAGCGGGTTGCTGGCTACCTCAAATTATGTATCCATTCTTCTATTACCCTGAAAGTTATTCATATTCCTTTAGACCGTAAGGGTCCTCAGATCAAAAGAACTAAAATGGTTTTTCATAAAAACTAATCCAAGTTGTGAATATTGTTTTAACAGGATAAAGTGGTGTTGTGTCGGTGTGCCGGGTGCCGTAATCCTCGAGTGCAATCTCGTGTAATCTCTCTGTTGCGGAGCTCAATCTAATGAATGATTTCTAACTGAAGCCTTATTTTTAAACAAGTAATATTCATACTGGTTTAAACAAAATATTTGATTGTATTTCCCTTTGCTGAGCAACAGTTTTGCGTGAAAGGAATTAAAGGCCTGTCTCAAATATAGGCCTGTTGATTTCAGTAATTTAATTTAAGCAAATAATAGCCTAGGCTATTATAGGCTATTATTTGCTTAAATTAAATTATTCAGTAATTTAATTTAAGCAAATAATAGCCTATAGCCTAGGCTACTGTAAAACTGTACTCTGTAGAGTTTTACAGTATATCTATATGATATATTGTCATGTCTAAGCATACATACTGCTTGTAAAGGTATGCATATACTGTACATAAACAACTTTCTACATCTTCTGTAACTTTTTGTCCAACTTAACCCTTACAATGTTTTCTTAGCTTTCTTTGCACCCTTGCACTATTTGTAAATATGCGGGAATACTGTGACTTGTTTATAGATGCTGTATGTTATTGTCCATTTTCTGTTCACTGTGTGTAAGAACTCTGAGAGCTACTGGAAGCCAAACAGTCAAATTCCCAGTTTTTGTACTTACACAGGTCAGTAAAGTTGATTCAAAAATAATAGTTCAGAGGACTTGAATGCAGCAGAAGGTGGAGGCCTCTGTGTTGTGCAGGAACTACAACAGCTTATTGTTTTTCCAGGGGCAGCACTTCACTTCCATCTAGTGGCGTAGTCAAGTACAGACTTGCCAAATGAACAGTGAAGTCACAGTGGTGGAAAATACATTTACTGAAGTACAGTTTTGAGATACTTGTTTTAATTCTGTGGTATTTTACACTTCCACTTGGCCACATTTCAGAGTGAACATTGTACTTTTTACTCCACAACATTTATTTTGCAGAGATTTCATTTTCATAACTAATGATCACTTTGTAAAATATGATTCATTTGCATTTTTCATTGCACACACACATTTCCAACACAGCAGGAAAAGCATATGTGCAAATAGGGTGCTAAAATTAAAGATGGCTGAATTCCATTTAGCTGCTTCAGTTTCAGGGGCCTGATAATGTGCATGCTGGCTCGCTGTCACACTGTCACAGCTTACTGGAACACTTGAGGAGGACAGAGCTATTAATGTTTAACAGTAACTTGTGCATTTCCTACTGTGACAAGTCAAAATGTCCACACATAGAGAAGCTAAAATTACACATTAATGCAGCAGTAACACTAGTCCAATGATGTAATGTAATAATATCACACTCTGAAGGGGACACTTCTGCAAGATAAGTTTAATATTTTCAAAGTGAGGTATACGAACACTTACCAAAAAGCTTTAATGATATTTATCTTCTCATATATTCTCAGGTTAATTTTTATCCAACTTGACAAGTCAATAACCTTTACCTTCCAATGTATCGTACATCAAGAGGACAGTATTCATTGACATACCATGGAGCCCAGCTGTGGAACATAAACTTGAACTTTTTAACTGACTCTATAGCCCTGTTTCCACCAAACACTTTCAGTATGGTACCTTTGGAACCAAAACTAACCCTCAGACATGGTACCTAGACCCTAGCGTTTCCTCCGCAAACAGTACTCTTAAATGTGGGCAGGGTTGTTGTCACTCACTGCTCTGTCCAGCACTCTCTGCATTTCCTCATTACCAGTGACACAGAGGGAAGTCTGCACCTGGTATATCCTCTGCAGAATGAGGCTGCACACTGACATTTTCTGAACAAAATAAAACAGGCAGTGAGAGTCTCTCTCCATGGGATATTTAAAAATAGCAGCTTTGTACGTTTAGTCCTTCTCAGGCAAGCGCAGGGGTTTAGTGTTGCCGTAGCCCACAGGAACGACATGCCATAATGCTTTTTTTTGTCCTCCAGGTGAGGATTAGAATATACACAGTTCACATAACCCAGCTAAAGTTAACACATATAAATGCTTGAAGATCCACTCAAAACTAAAGTGATGGTCAAAGTTGTCACAGTGAAATTGATGGTGTGATGTATGATTGGTGTGTTTATGGATTCACGTCATCAACTCATACATTGAGTAACATTACTAGTTAGCGTTCCATCTTAAAAGTCACCGACAGTCGGCCCAGAGAATTAAGTTATTTTTTTCTCCAACTCCAGCTGCTGCAAGAGGCAGCAAACATCCTTTCATTTTATAGTTACAGTTTACTAATAAAACTCTCCACGGTATGAACAGTGGTTACATGAGCATCAAAACCAGCCACAACTCAGCCCTGAACAAAGTGACCACTATTGACCAATTACCAGACTGCAGTGTTCACAGTTCCAACCCAAAAATGGGGACAGTACGGACCGGGTCCATTGGTACCATTCACAACTTTTCATAGTGGAAACGGAAAATATGTCCTTGTCCCAAATCTAATAGAAACTTAAATGTGGCTTAATGACAAAAACATTTGGTACCGTGTAAATCCTCACTGTGCTGTGTTGCTGCTGTGTTTCTGCATAGTACTGATTTATTTGATGTTGTGTTTATTTCTCCTCAGTAGCGTTGATTGTGTGGAAGATATGTATCTTTTTTTGACATTTTACTTTGCATCATGTTGTATTTTCAAATCTTTGCATAATTCATTCTTCCCTTTAGGTGAGATATCATGAAAAACCCTTTCTGGGTTTCCTTCCTCACCTGCACATGTACACTGTTTTTATCCTCCAGAGATCTGAGCTTTTGTTTGGTTTGCATTTTTAATTTCTCCTAGCTATTTGGGATCAGTAGGACAACATAAGTATAAAAAAACTTAACATTTTTATCCATAATTAAGTCCCAATGTGATCAAATGAATACTTCCTAGTTAAAAGTGTCTTAGTTTGCTACTGTTGCTAATTGGTCGAATTTGTTGCCATGTCAAACTACAAACATTATTAATCATAAATACACAAGTTTCAACCATAAAATATGATCAGGTTTTGGACCTTGTCCACTTTTTTGTCGAAATCAGCCACAGACTGACTTGGCAGAGATGGCCGCCATCTTGTTTTTTACATGGATTAATGTATTGTGCTCTTACTGCCACTAGATGGTACAAAAAGTGTCCATGAATGAGGACAACAGGTCTAAGTTAAGTAGAATGAAGTATAAGGTCAAGTAAACCCAAGATATGATGTTCTCACATGAGGACACAGGGTCTCAGGAGGTTATTCTTTTTTACTTTTCTCTATTCTTTATATGTAAATGTGCAAATAAACTTAAACTTAATAAGTACTTTTACTTTTAATGCATTTGTGCTTTTACTTGAGTGTTTTTCCATTGTTGTATTAATGCCTATAAAGGATCTAAATATCATATACCATACCAATAAATATTGTGCCACTGAAAATGGAGTGAGTGACAGCACTGTTAAAAACACTGTTAATATATGACATGTTCTTTGGGATGTCAAAATATAAGTAAAAATAATAATAAATGACTCGTCTTCTTTTACATTTTCATCTTTTTATTAAAACATTTTGTGAGCACTCTGAAATTTGTTTTCATGAAGAGAGAAAGCAGTGGGAGCCTTGGACTAAACAGTATTGATGGCACTTGGTGTTGCTATTGGCATCTGGACAAGTTCCACAAACTCCTCACAAGCTTGCCACTGACTCCAGAAATAGGTGAATAAGGTAGAAATTACAGCGAGAAGGCTGCACTGCAGTGTCTGCAGAGTAACTAGGGCTCTACTCCAATGCAATATCTGCACTTGACTTGCTGGGCTACTTTAGCTATAGACAATATTGCACAGAGAAATGATGTAATAGAGCTAGGAAAGTATAAAGGAAGTTTGGAAGAGGAAAGGTAATTAATCTTAACTGAAGCAGACAATGCATCCTTTGGGGACATTATAATACAACTTCACTTCTGTGAGACGATTATACAGTTATACAGGAAATTGTAGAGGTTTCAGGGCAAAGATACAGCGTGCAAAGAAAGAAGAGCAATATGCCTTTGCCACTGTATGGACCCAAGGACACACTGCCAAGTCAGATGATATCCTATGGGTGCAGGTCTGGGGCAGGGGAGGACAGGGAGATGTGGAAGGGGAGGAAGAGGAGGAGGGATAAAGAGAGCAGAGAGGGGAAGGGAGGGATGACAGTGATAGGAGTGAGCACAGGACAGATTG